AAAACCTCATTTGTCTTTTTACATACCCATAGCTCATCTCCCATACCCAGAATCCAACACTTCTTTGTTAAACAAAATAGTCAGTCATAGCCCAGATGTAGTGCAAAACAAAGCATCCACTCTGCTAGCACAGACTTCACAGGGTTATATGACTGATACAGAGAATTAAGAGACTTCCCACAGTCCCCTGCTAGACAGTAGGATGGCTGGGACCATTCTCTCACCCAGCCTCAATCATCAGTTAACATTGCAGCAAGATTGAACACTAATTTTGCAGACATTAAAATTAAAAAAAAAAGCTATTAGAAATCTCTTCCCAAATGTTGTGCTCATGTTGCTAATTCTGTTTTAATATTAACTATCTCATTTGGAAATTACATTTCAATAATGAAAAGGTTATCTCTACTGTAAGATAAATAATGAGAAAGACTCACTGGCTTCGACTTGATCGTTTGAGTTTCTGCCATTGGAGCTGTGGTCTCAATTACAACCCAACAAACTGATTAAATATCAGCCAAGCATGAACAATAGCTTCCAGCTCAGATCCTCCCTTTCCACCTCATCCCTGAAAGCATTTAAACCTTAGAATATAAATGGGAATTTTCCTCACATAAAAAAGACAGCAACAAAATCCCTTGCATTTGGGACCCTGGTGCCTAATGTCACTGACATTGTCACTAACAATTCTCAGATTGCTTGCGTGGGCCTTTTTCTTCTCTGGAATCAAAGATTTAAGAAGCAAATATGTAAAGGTTAAACAACAAAACAAAACAAAATTTGGTCCATCAAGACGGTTCAGGGGGTAAAGGTGCTTGCTGCCAAGCCCCACAACCTGAGTCCAATCCCTGGGACCCACATGGTAGAGAGACATGGTAGACAACTTCAAGTTGTCCTCTGAGCTCCATATGTACACTATGACACATGCAGCCCATCCACAAAGCATTAAAGAATGTTAAAAATAATCTTAATGGAGGAGTGGCTGGACAGATGGCGTAGCAGCTTTGAGTACTCACTGCTCTTCCAAGGGATTCGGGTAGATTTCCAGCACCCACCTGGTGGCTCCAATCACTTGTTATGCCAGTTCTAGGAGATTGGACACTCTCTTTTGGCCTTCAAGGGTTCGCATGTGGTGTGAAGGCATATATGTAGGCAAAACATCCATACACATAAAATAAAAACCAACTTAAAAACAAAAAAGTATTTTAAAAGATCTAAGAAGAAAGTGATTGCTGTGGGATGCCATTCTATATGATGTCACTATATGTTGTTTTGATTGGTTGATAAATAAAACACTGATCGGCCAGTAGCCAGCCAGGAAATATAGGTGGGGTGAGCAGATGAGGAGAATTCTGGGAAGAGGAAGGGCTGAGTCAGGAGTCACCAGCCAGACACAGAGGAGGCAAGATGGCAAGGCAGAACTGAGAAAAGGTACCAAGCCACATGGCTAAACATAGATAAGAATAAGAGCTAGTCAGTAATAAGCCTGAGCTAATGGCCATACAATTCGTTAATATAAACCTCTGTGTGTTTATTTTGGGTCTGAGTGGCTGCGGACTGGGCGGAACACAGGAAAACTTCCAACTACAAGTGACTCTTAGTTATGTTCAGGAATTTCCGGATCAATGACCTCTCTTCCCTGTTCAACTGCTTAGTTTAGCTCCACCAGCATCCCTGGGTACCTATGCTACACCAAGACCTCCAATATCATTCCATAGGGGAAGAAAACCTGCCACTGCTGAGCCCAGGCCTGCTCCTTGGGGTTCCTGTGATACTCTTACAACTGTGTACCAACCTTATAGGTGGTGCAATGTTACTGTACCAAGTGCCTCCAGGGTAGTCTATGTCTTTTTCATCATCACATCCTGTTACACCAACCTGGAGCTTGGTGCCCAACACACACACTCACCTGTTGTTTGATGAATATTAGCAAATTACCTGAAATTTTATATACCTCTTTTTCCTTAGTCCTCAGAGGAATCTGGGTAGCCTTTCCTTCTACATAGCCCTCATCCCCCTAAACTTCTGCATTTTGAAGTCTGCTCCCAAGAACACAAGCTTCTGAAGACAAAGGCCTTTATGATCTCCTCCTGGGTCCAGGCATCTTCTGTTGAGGAAATGGTCATGCCTCTTGCAGCTGTTCCTCTTATATACAAGACTGATGAAGAGATGCCTCGGGTTCACAGAGCTTCTAAGGACAAGGTAAACACTACTGGAGGAGGGATGTGAGGCAGGGATAGGAAGACAGATGATAGTACACATTCACTTGATTCTCACCCCTGACAAAGCTGTGGTATTTACATAGTAATATCAGCCGGTCATTGGTTAATGGCAGCTCCCATGGTGTGTGTAGCAGGGTAAATGATTGGGGATGGGGGAAAATTGAGCCAGAATTGGGGCTGGCTGCATTGCCATCCTTAGAGGGTATGAATTGGATACCCACTCACAACTTTAGATGAACTCTGACCATATGATGACATGGAAAACCCCAAAGCATCCAAAGGGGAAAGTGTAGGCTTTGAACCATGATAGTGCACCTGGATATTAGGACATGAGAGGTTCTCTAATCTACTTATCATATTCTAGTATGCCATAGCCACATGTATCCTATTGACTTAATTTTTTTTTTAAATTACATTTATTTGTATCCGGCTATCTCTCTGCTTACCATGGGGGCATGTATGCTGTTGAGAGAACAACTTACAGAAGTCACGTCTCTCCTCCTGCCATGTGGGTCCTGGGGCACAGTTGTGTTTCACGAGGTTTGGAGGTAAGCAGCTTTGCTCACTGAGCCATCTGGCCAGCCTCCTACTGGCTTTGATGGTATAGACTTTTTCCAAAGGAAAACTCCTGTGTCTTTGGGTTGAGCAAATACAAGATCGTGTGAGAAGTATGAGAGTGGGTGGAGATATACAGCCGGTTTGGCTCAATCATTCTTACATGAAAGCAAGTTTGCAGAGAGACCAAGGATGTCTTGAGGGGTGAGATAACCCAGGGATGCTGTGGCAGACAGGCGAAAACACTAATGGGAAGTGCCCAGGAGCCCAGTCACAGTGCTGACTTTCACCAATTAGCTGACATTTCACCAGCCACCTATTTGGGGCCAGGCACGATGTCATCCTCACATGAATGTATCTCAGGGAATCTCACAGCCACCCTGGAAGACATCGTAAAAACGTGATTTTGCCTATGGAGTGACTGAAGCTCCAAAACTTGCACAGTAAACTGCAAATCAAGGCGGGAATGCGAGTCTGTTACTCATGGTGTGACCCTATGGTGCCCTGCTCCATAGCTGTTCCTTCACAGCCCTTCAAAGGATGTGCTACTGGGCTCAGCTAGGCGGTAAACATCCCCTGCAAAGGATCTTTGTGCTGATTGGTGATTAAAGCAAACAAGATAATCAGTTCCAGGACCAGAGGGAGAGCGGCTCTCACCCTCATGCATGCCTCTATTCACAGGACCCTGGAAACCTTTCAACATGGCAGCGGCTGCGGCAATTACCCCTTAGACTGCAGAATAAAGGGGTCCTGTCTGGAAATGCAATTATTTCAGAATAAAAGGTTTGAGAAAGGCATATGCAACAAAAGGAAGTGTTTTGGTTTTCTGAAAGTGATATTCCCAGCGAGGGCAATGACTAGCTTTGATCACGGACTATAAAGCTTTGTTTAAAAAAAATGACGGGGATGATGAAGATAACCAAGAGGGCAGTGATGATGCACATATTAAGAGGATGATGAAGAGAATGGTAGTGATGAGGAGGAGGGTGGGAACAATGAACATTCCCTAAGCACTTAAATAGGCCAATTGTTACGGGCACTTCAGACATACTCTGTGGTTATCACAGTAACTGCAATGGGGATACACATCTCTATATAACACACAGGAAAGTAAAATTCAGAGAAATGAAGTCACAACCCAAAGCATGCACCCATAACCACTAACCCAACAAACCCCCTTTATTTATTCTTCCATTTGCTCATTTACTTTGAAAAATCCATTCATTTATTCAGCAAACACCAGTCTCGGGTCTACCTACTGCAGCTACTAGACCCTTCTAATTTCCATGTGTCAAGAATATGCCTCTATCCTCACATTAGGGATAAATGGAAATGAGTGTGAATTACATTCAAATCAAGATTTATCACAATGAATGGTCTACAACTAGTGTAAAAAGAACCATTAATGATTTTTTCAGCTCCTATAAGCTAATGCCAATTATCTGCTTCGCTCTTAATTAATGTGGCAATAAAAAGCTACTCGGTAATTGGTTGAGAAGAGAGGGGCTGCCTTGCATCTCGCTGATGTCTGTGCCCTAGGTGGCAGCCCAGCTGAGCAGGGTTGGTGGGGTCCAGGAGGAGTGCTTAAGGCTCACAGAGCCGGGCTAGCATTTGGGGGCACACATGAGTGGAGATT